AATTCTTTGGTTTCGTATGACATATTTTTACTCTATATTAACTGTCTTCTGATTGGCTAATATTTATCAAAGTCACTTAAGAATCGTTCAAAGGTCGTCTATAAATGATAGTCTCACCGAGTTTTGTTCTCTGAGCTGAAATGTTTGGTCTTGGAGATTTCGTCATTATTCTGAACGATATCATCAGCACAAATTTTACGTAGAAGTAAAATGTTCGAATTTCTCCACCAATTGCTCGCAAAATAAGTGAAAAGTAAAATAGATTAAATAACTTTTCCACGATTGGACTTAAATTTCAAATTATCTGTAGTCATGCTTCAACTGTGTAAGTAGCATAACAGTGACTTTTTATAAATAAGACTATTTTACTAATTCTGAAATAATCTCGAATTGTTCATCTTCAGAGTTATTATGAAGTAAATTCTAACGGTTATTCAGTAGTTTCAACTTCCGATAAAAATAAAAACGAATTATAACTAAACGTATTTCATTAATCTTCCAGTACTTCTGAATTACTGTAAAATATTTATTATAGATTAAGTTACACAGTTATGCAATTTTCTATAATACACTATGAATATCAGTTCACAACTTAATAGAATTTGGTCAGAAAACAAACTAAAATCACTTAACATCAATTTTGTAGTTTTGCTTGTTCCTAGTAAACTGTTAAATTGTTACCTACTTTAAAATACCTATCAAAATATTGAATTCTAGTTATTTCAAGCTTGAATGTGAACATCTTAGTTACTATGGAAATGATAATAAATTTCACTAAGTAGTGAAAAATAATTAATGATTAGATAGATCAGGCTTTAAATGGGATTTTAAAAAATAGCTTTATATGTAGGTATGTTACTATAATCAAAGTTGATATGCTTTGTTACTTACTTATTCTATCTTTTGATGTTTACTCAGTCGCGGTAAATATTAAATCTTCAAGTTGGATTTTAACAAAGAATCTTATCAGTAAATACTTAGTAATTAAAAAATATGTTAATAAACGTCACGTATGTGTGGAATAACTACAAATATTAATAAAATAAACCTTAATACTTGAGATATTCAAAGATTTTTTGATAAAAGTTCTTGTTAATAGTCAATTCAGACTATTACAACACTTAATGAAGTTAGATATTAACATCATTGGGTGCCGCCTCAGTGGTCTAGTGGTTAAGCGCTCGCGCGCGAAACTGTTACGTCCTGGGTTCGGATCTCGCGAGACGGGATCAGGGATGAGCACTTCTGAGGAATCGCACAATAGGACGAGTTGGTCGTGTAATGCTTCCAGGTTTTCCATGGTGATCTACCTTCAATTGACTCCTGAACGCAACTATTAAATTATTATAATATTCACAAAACTCCTTTTGATACTTATTGAAAAGTTGCTACTGACAGTGCTACTCCTGAATCCAATCTCATTTGTCATTCTTTGAATTATTGATTAACATATATATATGACTGTAGAAACTGAAGAGAGTTTATTTGTTTATATATCTGTGTCTTCAATGTTTTTTTGTCTATATAGTACAAAACTATTTTATTTATCATACAGTAGAAATATATCACATTTTTGTATACTCATAAGAAACAAGACCTGAGGAAATAACATGTGAGTTTTCTTTTATTATTTCTAAGATTAATAATATTATCTCTGACATTTTACTTGTAATGTCGGTTGCTGTGCTAAGCCCATATACCTTATTCTAGCTATCGAACAGGCCAATCTATTCATTCGACTTGAGTCACATTTTGGCCTTAATAATTATTCACTTATCAATCTTGACTGTTTTTATATGAGCGTATATATATGTGTGCACATTTCTTAATCCATTCATCACATATCTGTAACCCAATTTTGTGTGGCCATAAATATTGATTAATGCTTGATTAAATCGAGTTGGTTCACACACCTTCTCCGCTGTTCGTCATTTCGCTTCGCTCTTTTCTCTTTGCTTCTCCGTTGTTTTGTCCAAATCAAAGATTGTATGAAATATACGTATTCGAAATTCATTCTCGTATTTGACTTATTTAATTCCGTTATTGACTAACGCAATTTAAGTCAATGATTATATACGAGGATAGGTGACACATATATTTTAACAGTAATCATTCAATAACACTCATTCATACGATCTACTTGGAGTCAGATCCCGGGCCACTAAATACTTAGAAGTAATGTATTAGGCATAAATTTCTTTAAAACAATTAATTCCTTTGATAAATTTCGATAATGCAATGAGAAGATAAAGTTTATCAGAATTATGTAATATATAATGCATAAACTTTAATAGTCGATTCATACATTATTATTAAGTCTGTTGTTAGTGTAACATTAAATATTTGTACCAGAAATAATCCATTTAACAATTCGCAAGTTAACCTACTCTACTAACCTGATTTTTTATTCAATAACTATCCATTATGTATGATTATTAGGTATGCATCAAATATGTTACAGATTAGTATGTGATTGAATTAGATATCACCAGGTCACAGAAAGCTCTGATTTTATGTTTTCCGCTACTTAAAACTTTTTATCTAATCGTTTACTTATCATCGAAAGAACTGATTGCATCCAAAGAATTTAAACTCTCATCATGCATTAAAATGGTTAGTGGGTTTTATAGATTAGACATTTTGGTTAATATTGATCTTTTTTAGGACTGATATGTTTACACATTGGTTTATTAGTCAGTAGTAACTGATGTTACATTGTCTTCTTCAATAATCTTAATGTTCATCTATTTAGACTAGCAATTTTACCGAAATTTTTTTAATCAACATTGAAGTTTAAATATCAATGACTGTTTAATAATCAATTCTCATGTCATAATATAAACAGTTATATCCTCGTGGAATGGAAGAATGCTTCTAGTCTGAGCCATGTTCGCAGATGCAGACTACTTGGTTGGGGTTCGCGTGTCTATTGAAACCAATGGTTTGAGACTTGGTGACATGGCTCAGAATCGATCACAGTGGCATCGGTGTATACACTCCTTATCTTCCCTTAAGCTATGAGATTAAAATCGTTTCATATCATTCTTTCTACGAACTAATTTTTCATCCTGTACTATGTCTTTCTATCCAGTTTTTCTTTAATGTATTACCACCAGTTAATTAACTACTTCTAGGAATCCAGCGTTCATCTTGTCGTACTAATGAGATATAGCAACTTGGACCGATGCACATATGTGCCTGGTCCTACGTTGTAGCGGACTGACTGTATTGCTCAGCAATGCGTCAAATTATACCAGGAAAGTGTAACGTGAATTTTTTATGTAGATATTTTAAAAGATTTCGTTTTTTGTTTTACTATTTTGAATTATAAATAACGTGTTTATTTAGGCAAGTTTCTATTAAATGTTGTTAACTGAAGTACATTTATAAGTGACCTCATAAGGGTATAGTGATACTAGTAATGTTTACACTAACTGTAGTAGGTAACTAATACATGTAATATAAATGAGATAAATTGTACTTTAAATATGTTATTTATCATTCAAAATGGGACGACTTAAGAAGATACACTACTCATAATTCTTTTGAATTTCTTGAAGTTACTGTAGTTTTTAATCAGTAACTGATAAAAGTTTGAATTAATAATTATTATTTTCAGGTTTTTTGGAGATCTTAGTAATTTAATAGTTGAATTCATGAGTCAATTGAAGCTAGATTGCCATGGAAAACCTGGAAGTACTGAACGGTCGTTTCGTTCTCGTACGGGAATCCACAGCAGTGCCCATCAACTCTCGAGACCGAAAGGTCCTGGGTTCGAATCCTGAGGGGCTAGATCATGGTTGAAAGAAAGCTGAGTGCTCAAACCAAGTATCAGCCCATGAATTCATTGACTATTAAAGTAAACCGTGTTAACATGTAGTGAATATCAAGTTCTGGTTAGCACGATTACCACAACCAATAGTTGAAGACGTCGGGTGACTCAATTAGGAATCGACCTAAGTGGCGTAGATAATTTCACTCTTCCCCTTCCTTTCTATCATAATTTTTGGCATTACCTCATACTTTGTATTTCGTGAACCCATTCATTCTTCTCGTGCCATACGGTCTATGTCTAATCTTTTGTACTAACACTGATAATACTACTGCTCCTACAATGCTGACATGGTGCGGCAACTTTAATCGATGCATATATGTTCCAAGTCGTACACTGCTCATGATTAACTAATTGTCTGATAGTTTGTTAAGGAACTATAATGACATATTTTTGCGAATAGTGAAGTGCTAAATTAGAAAAACTCCCAAGACATATCTGACTTAAACTAGATAATGAACCACTGACTTAATAAGTCTCATTATTTCACTCGTTATTTGAACAATTATTTTTCAGGTATTTTTTCAAAAGACATATACAACAATGAAGATAGCCCACGTTTTAAACAGCTGGAATCATCTGAAAAATCTATGAGAACTACATTAATATTAAATGTGGTTATGCTAGAAATGAACAATTACCATAACTTTGAGTACACTCTAAAAAACTTACACATATTTAGTCAGTAGCTTAGAGTGTAATCTATGATGAGCATTTCGTCCTGTTTAAGACTCCTTAGCTGGATTACCTGAATTCATGAGTTATTTCTCATAATGAGGCTCGAATCCAGCATCATAAGCTTTAAATGTCTAAGCATTTTTTTCACTGAGATATTGAGTTCAGATAGCCTATAACTTGCTTAAATAGTATGTAAGCATTATTAAGTCTTTGTGATTCTAAGCTGTTGGTTAGATGAACTCACTAGTTCTTCGGATAACATGTTGACGTTTGATTAGAAGTTATGAGGTTCAAGTATTTGTATGAACATCAATACTGTGATACAGATAAATCCAGCTGACTAGTCCTAAGTAGAACAAAACACTCATCCAGTAATACATGAACCTTAGATCACACGAGTTACCCCCTATTCTTTTTGAATTGTCTCAGTTAGGCTTCCTGTATCCAAGCATGTCCTATAGACACTTGATAACTGGAAAAAGTCATTTTTATGGGGAGAATGTATATTTACTTGATTATGACTTCATAAACCAGCTAATACTATGAAGTACAACAGTAAATATTGTTGTTATTGAGAAAAGTAACGTATGGCGGTATTTAAGAACAAAAATAAGAATAAGACAGAATTGATCTGAAAGTTGGTTTAATCTTAAATCATATGAAAGATGTTAGTTAGTTATGATGTCGACTAGTTGTGCTAAATATTGAGGGGCTTCAAATTAAATAACATTTGGATGATATAATGGTTTAATAAGCATGATTAGCAACGAATAATGATTTGTCTCCCAAAGCAGTTCCCATATCTCCTTCAAATTTGCCAACAGCAGCAGCACCATTTGCCTAGAAGATTGAAATAATTGTAAGTTAGTTCGTGTATTCAATAAGTGTATTATTAATAAACTTATATGTATTAAAAACACTTACACAAAGTTTAAATGTCTTGTAAAGAATGTTTTACAAAACCTGTTTATTTGGATTATTTTTTAACAGAAATAAAAAAGTCAAAAGACGAAGGCGTTTTTTAATATTTGAACATTGTAATAACATGTTAAAAAGCCTTTAGAAGTCATCTGCGTTATCTGCGTTCCTGTATCTTTTTTTAAAGATCATAATGATTTATTGGCCTCAACAAAAACATTAGCAGTTGACATTGAATAATTCATCTTGTTGATGAATTAAAAGGGGTAAAAAAGGTACTGATGAAATCCAATATCAACTCCCAACAACATTTTTATGTGTTGGTAGTTCTAGGACTTGAGTGTTTCTTCTACCTTTCAAAAGGGTCAACAAACTTAAATGTGGAATGAAACCAAACAATTTTATTAAAACCAACATAAACAGATGTAAACGTTAGCTCATATATTTACTTTGGCCAATTTCAATAGCTCTTCCTGAGCCGCATGAACATTTTCTTTCTTTCCCTTCCATGTGGCTAAGACTGAAGCCTGTAGAGCACGACCAAAACTAAAAGTGAGTGCCCATGGCTTTGGTCCCGGAATTCTGTTGATTTCGTTCAAATTTTTAGTAGCATCCAATTCTGATTGACCTCCAGACAAAAATGTGATACCTAAAACCAAAGAGTTAAAAACGAAGTTTGATTGTAGTCTACTGTGGCTTGTTCGAGATTAATTAACCAAAAGGTAAAATCATACCTGGAACAGCTGGAGGGACTGTGCGCTGAAGAGCTCGCACAGTAGCTAGTGCATTTTCCTGCGGTGTGTAAGCTTTTTTGCAGGCCTGTCCAGCAGTGACCATATTGGGTTTTAAAAGCGTTCCTTCCAAATAAACATGATGATCGGCTAAAGCCTTGTACACGAATGCCAAAACTTCTTCTGTTACTCTTTGAGCAGTTAGTAAGTCATGGTCACCATCAGGAAGCACCTCAGGTTCAACGATTGGTACCAAACCATTCTAAAATTTAAAATGTTTGCACAAACTTATATCATTTGAAGCTCTTATAACATGCAAACAGAAATACTTAGAGTAACTCTAAATAGATAATAAAAGTGAATTATCGAATAATTTGTCAGGATATGAATATGATTAGAATTTCGAAGTAGATCTTACAACCCTTGATGCCACAACAGGTCAATTATCACTTTCCAGTACTTCGTCTTTAACAACTTCACAACTCCACTGAGTCTTTTGAACGATTTTTCTTTACAAAGAAGCTCTTTAAATTAAAATCACACTTTACTACTAACTTTTATTATGACTAAACCACATCATAACTGTTCTTAAACTCGATGAAAAGAACTAGGAAGAATAAATTTAAAAATTAATTACTTAGACGTTTTTCTAGAAATCGTAAAGCAATACAGAGCTTCAACTCCCAATCAGGCCTGATAATTACGAATTAAGCCTGAATTTTAATTTGTAAACATTTAGTGCATGACCCAAAATACAACACTAGTTTTAATTATGTAGCGGTGGTTTTTTATAACAATAATTGAAATCAGTAAATAATTTTAGGTTTAGCATTATGGAAGGAATATATGTAAATATTGGCTGTCCAAGAAAGATAATTATATGTCTAAACTACTAGATTTTTTTAGACAACAAAAACAGTTTGAAACTTGTATTGAACCTGAGAATTTTCTGTCGAGCAGAAAAGATAAATTAACTTACAGCTAAGACTCTTAAATACTTTGTATGTACAACAAACGTTCATAAATAGTAAATATTGAGCATTATTTTATTTGCTTAAACCATAAGTAAACATCTGGATCATAAAGACATTTCTTTAAGAGCTTATCAGAAGCTCCTAACTTTTTTAATCTTCCACTCATCGTTACTGATAATGGTGGTTTCATCTCATAACGCGTCCTACATATAAATAAGGCACCACCATAAATGCATTTTCGCACGGTATAATAAGATCCAGAAATGTAGGTTTACATATACTATATCAAAAATAGTGCATAATTTTTTTCTTTTTAATAAGCTCTAAATAACTGCCAAAAAAGGATGATTTACCTTAGCTATATTCAAAACAAAATGATCTGATATGTACTGAATTAATAATCTGAACTGATAAAAGATAATCTAAAATCATCATAGTTTGTATGACATAAAACTTGATTGGGATTTTAATGAAATGGGGATTTAAGACCCGTAGATTATAGTCGGCAAAAATAATAATCCTGCCGACGTCAACAAATATACTTAATAGTCACGCTCGTAGACTCTGCAAAAACAGAACTTGTATTTAATGACAGAAATACTAAACAGTCAGTCATATACAAAGTAAAACCAGACACATATATGCATCGGCTTAAATTACTATACCCCATTGTCACAACAAGATGAACACCAAATTCATAGTCACTTCAATAATAGTAATATATAGAAGAGACTGCATATAAGGATATGATACAGGGAGAAATAATTAGTTTGTAGAGAAAAGTAGAGTGGTTTTAAAATCAAAAGTGTACACATCTTAGCCATTGTGGTCAATTTTGAATCGTCACCCAGAGTCTCCAACCACTGGTTACAATAGCCACGCAGACTCCAACCAAGCAGTCTGCATCTGCCAACATGTCTCAAAAAGATATACGCATTGTTCCCTAAAAGTTGATTTAATGTCTCTATGGATACTAAAACGGGCTAGGTGTATCTCAATAAATAGCTCGATGTACTATTAGGTTATGCGCTATGAAAATTATACGTCTGTAACCAACCACTATTAAAAGATTATTTTAGATGATGCGAGGCCTCATACGATGAGAAAGATAGAAGGTGAATCTCAAGCTAACATCAAGTCGTAGAACGATAATTTAAAGACAAAATTAATGTCAGATAAATATATCTCGATGATCAACGGAACTGCAAGAATAATATATCTTCTTTAGAAATATTCAGCATTAATTTTAAAGTCATTGGAATCCAGGGGCTTATGAACCACATATGACTGCTAAATGATGGCTGCATGTCCTCCGGCCTAAAAGCAAGGCTTGTCAGAGCTCTAAAAGATACAAGTCTCATTGCTTATCCCCGAAAAATATCAAACGTTATTTCATATATAAGGTTCAAACAATTTGCCATTAAATCACAAAAAACATGCACTACAATTGGTCTAATGAGTCAGACTTTAACCGGCTACGCAGGTTCTGGGTGTATTTTTTTATTTTTTTGATTGCTGAGTAGAGCAAGTCAACATCTTTATATTTTACTAAATTTTAAGATGCCATATTATTTCCCAACCCTTAATTTCAACCAATAATTCGATTTTCAACATACGCTGTTTGTCAAAAACCTAATAAAAGAATTTTGATGAATATAATGTTTTTGTCTGATGAGTAAACTAACCTGCTGACAGATGGAAGCATAACGTGCAAGTACATTGGCATTTTCGAGCATAGCTTGATATGATGGTGTGTGTGGAGAGATCTTCAAAACGCAACGCCACTTAGCAAAGCGGCATCCAAGTTTATAATATTCAGCACAGCGTGAAGCAAGATCATCAAGACCCTGAGTTGTTGTCTCATTGTCTGTGCCTGCAAGTGGAACAACGCCTTTGTCAACCTTTATTCCTGGTATGATATTTCGTTCGGCCAAAAGGGTAGGTAGAGTCTTTCCATCGTCCGACTTTTGGTGAAGTGTCTCTTCAAATAATATTACTCCAGAGATATTTTCGGCCAGTTTATGGTCAGCACTAAAAAGGAGCTGGCGGTACAGACGACGATTTTCTTCGTTATTTTCAACGCCAATTTGTTGGAGCCTTTTGCCCATCGTGGCTTTTAAAATTACGTTAAATGGAAATTAAGGCGGAAATACCTGTGCTTTCGTCAGCTGCTAGAATTCCTTTACCAGGGGCACAAATAGCTTGAGCGATTCGGCGTAGGTCATTCTCTTGAGCTTCAGTTAAGTAAAGATGAAAGCGTGACATTTTAACACAGTATGATACACCTAAAATTTGCCGATTCAACTTTTCAGAATGTAATAAAACCTACAGCAAAGAAACGAACTGGTTACAAACTTTAATCACGTACACAACTATTTATGGTCAGAGTACAAATGGTTAATATACCTTTAGCTCACTAAAACAAACAGTACTATTGTAGCCCAAAAAACAATTGAACGCTTTAGGGATTCTTTATTCCTGATTACTATTATGACTGTTTCCTTAAAAACATTAGATAGTGATAAGGAAATTTATTTTCTTAGGTTTGTGTTAGTATGTAATACCTAATGCTGCTATGTAATTATTATCTACTTGCTGCGGATATGAAAGATTTCGGAAGCTTATGCTCCCATATTCATCTGGTAACTATCTAAAGGAAGTCTTCGTAAAGGAAAACAATCAAAGTTGCAGATAAGCGTGGTCACTATGTACTGAACTAAAGCTTCCGAAATAACTGAACCTAGTAGCGATGTTTTTAACTTATACAATCTTGAGACTGGAGTATTTAATTGTAAATCATAATGAAATTCACTCAATTAATACCGAAAAATTCGTTCGAAATAAGGGGCTCTTGCTTTGAGAGTATTATTCTGAGTCCGGGCATATTCCTTTTATATGTGATTAATATAACCAATTTGATATGGCTGTCAAATGACATTATATCAGATCAAAGATTTCGTCTTCAAATCGTGGACGTTCTAACCCTTTTGAGAGAGTTCGGGAACTAAAACCCTGGTTCAAAGGTATCTGAACGAGAGTTGTGTTATAAAAATCTCATGTCTGCTTTGATTATACGTCATTTCAAACACTGGGTAATCCTAATAATAGGTTGAACTGGAAAGTGAATAGCAAGCGTTAGGTGTTCTTTACTTTTATTTTATTAATCCATGTGGTAGGCCGAATTCAACAATAACAAACAAAAAGCAACTGAAGCTAAGTGAACTTCAGTTATAGAGCTAATTTACCGATGTGGCGAGGATGATGTGGTTGCATCTAAATACTCGGAGAAATTGTTTCATAATACCCATTAAGTAAATAACACTTACTGTGCTAAGTCTAGACGCGTTAAATCGACACAAATGTGTACTCATTTTATAATAAAATATGTAACAAAACATGTGACTTGCAAATGAATAACTCCATTTGGATTAGGTATCTTGTGTTTATTTTTGTGATTAAATCGATTGCCATGTATATTTGTCACTATAATTTGTTAATCGCTCCATTTATCTCATAATCATATAATATCCATACGCATTTCTGACGCACAGACTAGTTGACAATGAATAACCTGGATCTATTTTAAAGATGTCACAGATACTCAGCATTTGACAACGTTCTGTCCACAACACCTATATTAACGAGGGTTTTAAACCCAGTCAAACTAGAATTTATAGATGTAGGAGTTTAAGAATATTTTTGGAGGATTGTCGAACTGTTGAGGAGCGTTTGATCTAAACTGATTAGTAGTTGCAAGGTATATGTAGCACGTTATACTCACTCGTGATCCGTCGCCGGTGTCTGACTGAGCGCCCTTGACCAAGGTGTGCTCATTATAACCACTGGGATCAGCAGCAACGTCGAAGACTTAAAGAACGATATATTTTGCGAATTTGTTTGTTACTATAGGTCTGCTCGAGTTTTGAGGAAATGCTATATCTTTGTAGCATACTCAAAGTCGCACTCCGTGGTCAACACCTGATATGAATTTTCTGGTCGTGATAATCAAATGAGTGATGTTTGCTTCCAGCCAATTTTTTGTTCGAGATAGATCTAAAGCCCCTATCCTCATTAGCAGTCTCCAATCGCACAAGCTTGGTGTTATTAGAATGCGGTTCATGTAATTTTTCAATCAGGATCTCAGAATGACACTTGGCGATATTGCAAATGAATACCGACGTCTAACAAATCAACACTGTTTGGAGAATAACGAGTAGTCTTTCTGGACCCTACTGGTATTGTGGTGTATGGGATTTTGTATGAACCTGTGTTGGGATATTCAGGAAAATATCCCAGAAATTATCCTATTAAGTCTAATGCTATTCATGGACTTGGACATGGTATGATTTTCTTATTGGTCAGTACTTATTTCACGTGTTATTTTCCTACTGGTCAATATTGTACAATGTTATTTTCTATTTTACGGTACGTCGTGGTCTGCTTGACAGGTATATAAACAAAGTATGTTTGAAATATAATGATTCATATATCCGAGGCTGAGACTTGCGTTCTGAACTCAACTGCTGGGCTAGATAGGGAAGCGGGACCAATCAGAACCCTAGGTCGTTCTACGTGTTCGTGCGTCTTTGGTCCGATTGATAATTCGCTACCCTCAAATCTGCCGTGTCACAGTTGTAGCAACCTGTTCATTCAATCAACACCGTCGCAGGAAGTGTACATCCATTGCTGACAAAGATGGATTCCGTCAAAGGAGAAAACTAAATCGGTTACCACATCGGTTCAAAAGTGATAGATAGCCTGCTTCCAAATCCTGTGGAAATTATTTGAGCGTATTCGCGTGCTATCAGAGCACAACCCCAGGTGGAAGAGAGTTTGGGAATAAAATTGGCAGCCGACGTGTTTGGTCGACAACACAAAAGCCTCGTACAGTGTGTGGTAGCTATCCGAGAATCGGCAATGATCCTCATTAAAGGAAGTTTGAAGACAATCAACAAGCTGATGCTAGCAAGATATGTGATGAATAGGATAAGAAATGTACCCACATAGGTCAAGATGTGACTCAAGTAGAATGAATGATTGGCCTGTCGGAAAACAAGAACAAGGTATATGAGCTTAACATAATGACCGACACTGCATTCATAGATTACGTTACAGCGGCTATCAACGTACGGGGTTGAATGTTCGGTGTTCATTCGGGACAACAGAACGGCCCACCCAGGAATGCCTTAAATGTCGTTTGATCGTTTTATCTTTTGATACGGTTTTCTGTGAAGTTTCTTCCAAAGACATTTTCGTACCGTATATATATGCATGGGTTGTGTGCTCTTTCGTTCATTCTTCCGGACTGCTCATTCCATATATATTTCTCCACGTGGATTCTGTTCTCTTCTCTAGTCAAGGAGGCCTTGTTTGTTTTGTTGTGTCGCTGACTTTCACTCAGTTCGCCGGTCATATGTGATATTGTTCTCTCCCCAAATATAACAGTAATCCTATTACCTACCGATTTTAAATTCAAATTGCATTTTTTGCGATCACTCTGCAGGATGATTTGAAAATTTTTAATCAACCTTTATTCACTAAACAATCTCACATATTTGGTAAATTTTTGGAGTTGGTTGACATCCAAGCGATTTGTCATTGGAAAATCCTTACTGGAGATTATATAGAATAGATATATTTCGTATATAGTCTCATGATCTCAACAACTTCAGCGAGCAAATAAATCAGTCTCCAATATTGAGATTCCCGTATTAATTACTGTTTTTCCGCAACCTGTTTAGCTAGCCCTAAAACGCTTTAGTTGTCCAAGCAAAAGGGGTTTTAGGTTCTCACCTCTGGAAATTAAACGTTGATCGTTCGTGGATTATATCGAAATTCTTGAGAAACGTTTAGGCGATCTTTTCTTAGTATTCCATGTGTCTATTAACTAACTTATTTGAACGATTCATGGGAACACTGAACACTGTTTATAGACTCTCATTGGTTGAAGGAGAGCAGATGAATGAATTGGGTATAGTAAGTTCCCGACCAATGATAATGAGCAGATGATGTCCAACAAAATTGCGCACAGCCAGAATAACAAATATTGGTCGAAAAAGTGACTGGTACAAAGTCAAGGTGGTTTTCATCAATGAATCAGGTCTCACTAACATAAATTTAGAACAGACTACCCAAAATGGCATGTCTGACACAATTATATTATCAATTATGTGGGTTCCCACGATAACAAGATAAGGTGTTTATTGGTATCCGATTTTTATTATTGTGCTGATGGCACCGCAACGCGATTTAAACGGGCACGTTACATGCAGTATGCTCATCACTGATACTTTCGTATCTCATGATACCTTAAACTGTGTGGTCTAAACCACCTAAAACATAGGAGACAGGAATTATTCTTATGTCTACGAAAGGTCACTGATCGATGGGCCTAGGATGAGATCCTTTTTCGATTAGGCTTATCCAAACTTCCTCCAACAGGTGCAAGCGGTTCTCAATTCATTCCGAAATAATGCCGTAGGCGAACTGGCTGCGCTTGCCAATAGGACTTCTGTGATCACTACAAGCCCCAGCACCGATGTTTGTTCTGTCAAAGAAAAGTCTTAGACCACTCAAAATTACTACAGGTCTCTGTAATACTCTGATCCGTTATTTTAATATTCATCGTAAATCTATACTCTCCAAAACCACTCGAAGAAGCTTATCTTGAATATGATCCACCTCTGGACAAAGAGGAACAGATAATCCTGATTGATTTTGGTGATACGACATCAATGGTAAGTTTTCTAAAAATTGCAGGAAGTCCTGTGGTTTCGCTGTTCCAAGTTGTACGACACAGCAAACATTTTTGGAAACATTCCCACTGGCACGCATCAACAGCAACCTAAGACTGTGGAAAAAGCCGTCTGTCGTAAATCACTAACGTGATGACAAGGTTCGATGACTCATCTACGATGGCGCAAAAGAAAATGTTCTTCCCATCATCATCAACGATCGACTGTAACATCTGATTTTCAAATTACAGGCGTTAATTTGAAAGCTGATCATCACTCGTGGTAAGCGATATGTCTATCCTAACGTGAGATTGCACTGACCCACTCACTGGATTTTCGTTGTCCTGAATGTTTCTATAGTGATCATCGGTATAAACCTAATTCAATACCATAGTTTTAGTGACCGGAAATACTGAATCGTCTGTTCGTAGGCTATCTCTGATTGGCTCATACTTCCAGTAGACTTTCGACGAGTGCTCCGAACTTTACAAAATATGACCGGAACTGCCACATTTAATCACCAGTGTTACACACCGCGTCTGGAGTTGAGGCTCGCCCGTTTTCCTAAACGCGCGCCGGCTAGCTCCTGGTAAGTTAGAGTTGGCCTGAAACGAATT